TTTTTATTGTTGTCGTAGTTTCATATATGGTTGTTTAATATGCGAAACTTGTTTGTACTGGCACTGTCTCTTGTTATATCTTTTGTTATACCAAATTAAGTAAATACACGTGTTATTAATATTATATGTGATTTTATGATTATCGATAATATTATATTAATAAATAAATAAAATTACATATATAATAGTTTGTATAAGTAATTTTATTTAAAAATTAAAAGGTAGTGGTAATGATTCACCTAAATCAAAATGACTCATATTAATTCTATACCAATGCATAAATACAAAACAGCTTACACTATTTGGAAACCGTATAAAGTTTCTATCTAATATCAATCTTGAGATTGGAAATGCGTAGGTATCTTCAAATTTAGATTTACAATTTTTTCTTTTTTTTAAATACTCTCAAATTACATTTTTTTCTGTACAAATTAACTCTTAGTAATGTGTGAGCATTTATAAATGCAAAATAATAATTTCAAAATCTCATATGACATTTCCGGATATTCCCATATTTATGACATAAAACATTCCCAAATGGAATATTGACATGCTTTGATTAAACTTTTATTAATCATACTATGATTACAGTAAACTATACAAATTACAAATATAAAAAACAGTTTCAACATTCCAGCCAGACATTTGCATGTCGATATTGACTTATCTATGATTATGGTGTAACACTAAATGCTGCTCCTTTCCTTTATTTTTTTCTATCCTCCAAGTAAGAAACGAACGTTTTGACAAAAGGCCTCTTGCCAATGTCAATGTCACATTGAGATTGAAAACAGTGACCATTTGTCGCAGATGTCTGCCCTTTGAGCAGATTTAATTTTTATTCATTTTCATTGCGGCAGAACATGTTAACGTTTTATTAAGTGTGGCAAAATTTGGCAGATTTGATAATATTCAGCAAGTTCTGTATTATTTTTGGGAACAAACTGAAAACTTTTTTTGCTACTGCGAACAAACATTATGAAGCAAAATACAGGACAATGTTATAATTAAGCATAACCTATATCAACTTTATAACTCCAGCATCTACAGGCTGTACTCAGTTAGCTTTTTTGATGCTATGATAATGAATCATAAGTATTGATAGGTTACTTTAATGCACGTCGTAAAAAACACTGGGTTACAAAATACAGGATTAATAATCATAATAATAACGCACACACTCAACATAGCTCCGCACTAGGGAAACCCTGTGTCGCGGGTGCCATGGACATACACATAGACAACCACAAATTACACCCAAACTCACGAGAGAAATAAATGAAGGCCATACAAATATTTCTCCCGGCCCGGGAATCGAAACTAGAACCTCTACGCGGCATCCGTTCAGCACAGAGGCAGTTAAGGATTACATTCTTTTTAGGAACCGTGTTTTCACACCTATGTGTATCCTCAATTTTTAACCGACTCCAAAAAAAAAAGAAGGAGGATCTCAATTCGACCGTATGTTTTTCTTGTATGTATGTTACGCGATAACTCCGGTATTTGTGAACCGATTTTCACGATTCTTTTTTTGTTGGAAAGAGGGTACCTCCACAGAGGTCCCATTTCATTTTGAAGAAAATCATCTACCTCTAAGGGTGGCTGATCACGCATGAACATTCATTTTTATAAATAGCGCCTAAATTTTACTTAAAGAGCAATTTTTTTAATGGTTGGTTTTGCTATTCTCCAATTCAAGGCGTTTTTCTCTCAAAATATTTGAGTAGGGAGAACCGATTTTTATTATCTCCTGTGTGAATTCCTGTATAGTGGCAAACTAGGGGATATTTCAATAAAACTTGACAAATAGATGTCATTCCACGTATTTTTGAGGTCGGTTTTTTTGGACTGAGATTACAGTGTATATTTTTTCCAAAGTGATTGCTTGAACACTAAACTTGCACTGTAATGAGGAATCAGTCATTTGAAGTTGTATCTACTCATAATCGAAATTACCGTAATTGACATTTTTTTAGGTGACAATAAACTTCAGGCGCCAAGATCGCTAGTAACAGAAATGCAAATGCGTTAGTTATGACAGAGGGCGGAGGAGGAGGGCAGAAAAGTGAAGCTCATGTAAAAAAAAAACTAACATTCAGTGTAAAGCTCCAAAGGAAAAGATTAAAGGCAATGCCTGAATATTCTTCATCACTCTTGTTTTTTTATGATAACAAACGACGGAATGAACTGGCCCCCGATTCAGAACTCTTCGATATTTTGATAACTGTGTTCTGAATAACGTTTGTGGCCTTTGCCGGTCGAGATGTTCGAGTTATCGTACGGGTGTGACGTCATTTGATGTTTGATTCGGGTGTTGTGAATAAAAATGAAAAGAAATCGTACTATGTCAAATCGAATCGGTCGACAACTCGGTTATCGTAAGGTTCTGAAATTGCAGTACCACTCAGAACTTTGAATCACGAAGATCTGCCTTTACACTGAGACATAAGTTGAAAAATCCCATGTGCCTGTAATTTTACCAGCACCTTTCGAAACCGGAACGCAGGAATGCTCGCATTGCTGCTTGGCGGCAGAAATACTTACGCCCAGGACGAACTCTTTCACAAGGAGCTCTAGCAAGTTTTTATGTGAGATTTTCCTCAGCACAGTTTTGTTAGTATTAACAAGGATTCTAAGTGATAATTACCATAGTCAAAATGATTTATTGAATTCTACCCATCGATTGTATCACCAGAAATAGAGACGAAATGTCATTTAATTTGTTAACCGACTTCAAAAAAGGAGGAGGTTCTCAATTCGACTGTACGTTTTTTTTGTATGTTTGTTACGCGATAACTCCGGTATTTCTGAACCGATTTTCATGATTATTTTTTTGTTGGAAAAGGGGTTCTTCCATAGTGGTCCCATTTCATTTTGAAGAAAATCATTCACCTCTAAGGGTGGCTGTTCACGCATGAAGATTAATTTTTATAAATAGCGCCTAACTTTAATTTAGGAGCAATTACTTTAATGGTTGGTTTTGCTATTTCTCCAATTCAAGGGGTTTTTCTCTCAATATACTTTGAGTAGTGAGAGCCGATTTTTATTATCTCCAGTGTCAAGTCTTGTAAAGTGGCGAACTAGGGGATATTTCAATAAAACTTAGCAAATTGACGTAACTCCACGTACTTTTGAGGTCGGTTTTTTTAGTATTATGTACTGAGATTATCTTGTTTGAAAATTACTCTCCCATATCATTACTGTGACAACTGCGCTCCAATTGGCTAGCCCGAATCCGAAACAATTGACGGGTGTCGTAAATTGTTTCACATCAAAACGACCACTTAACTTGAGCTTTGCTATAATGGACGAAAATTGCAAAATGACATATTTAATATTTAATTACCGATTAAATTTGATTCCGTTTGTTTTGTAATTAGATGTTTTGCTGTTTTTTCCCACACCACTGAATGGAACAGCACGCCTTTGTTAGAGATATTGTCTTTACTACAATAAATACAGAATATTTTTGGAATATATCACGTACGCACAGGTCAGTTGTTGGCGCTGTACTATTTCAGCTTTCTAATTTGTTATTTCAGTGCAAACGAGAGTTGATATTTATAATTGATGTATCATTGATGAATTACCAGGAATGTATGACCCTTGTTTCAGGTTATATACTCGATGATTATATCTCACGCCATTAACACAACGTTGTAAGTTTGAAATTATTAAGATATTTATTTTCTCTGACAATTATCATGATACCTAATTATCTGATAATAATCCATTAAATTATCCTTGCTGTCTCCTTAATTTTTGATTAAAAATGAAAAGCAGTGATAAACGTAAATAAATACAAAATGTTTGGGAAATCGATTTGGTTTGCTACTTTTTTAACCGACTTAAAAGAAGAAGGAGGTTGTACGTTCGGCTATGAGTATGTTTTCAGATATCGTCGTCAATTGTAAACCGATTTTGAAAATTCTTTTTTTTTTAAATTTTTTTTGAATTGATATTCAATTGAAATTACTCCACTAGATTGTTATAATTATTAATACGAAGATCGAAAACTCAGAAAAAATTCCTTCGATCCGGCCGGATGCGAACCGACGTCTTCTAGCATACCGTGTCAGACGCTATACCAACTAAGTCACGGAACGAACGAGCGGACCTCACGAATTTTCCTAAGTGCTTGCGTCGTATCTTTGTATTTGGCTTTTTAATTTATTTATTACATTTTACAATTTATCAAAGTTCAATATCAAGAGAATCGCAATCACAAGGAACTTGATAACTTATGTCTCATGGTGACGGGCGTATTGACAGTGGCCCTCGGACATTTGCGGTTTAAAGCTTTGCAAGGCACTGTAACTAAAACAAGCGTGTAGTTAACCACCAGGCGCACAACTCGTTCGTCACTTAACTTTGTATCATAAAAAATATATATGGACCTCCTCCAGTGCTACAAGGACCGACCTTGCGTTGCACACATCCAACGGATTGCCACAAATTCACTAGGTGAACCAACGACCTGGTCAAGGTCAAATATTATAAAAAAAACGCAATAAGTTACTATAGACATGTAACGCGACATGCGTCTGGTGCAACAATGATGTTTTTTGTTTTATGTGAAAGATAGGCTTACGGTTGTTCACAATCTCACCGAATAGACAGTGAAAAAAATGCACCAGAGGAAGATACCTATTCTTTATGACCTTAGACAAATTTAGGTGGTACTGTTCAAGAAATATAGAAAATGCAAATAATTCCACTCATTAATGAACGTAAAAGCGAAACGTTTCGATCTAATCGATTTAAATATAAACCATCACTAAATTGCCAGAGATCATGTTAAACTGGTCATAGTATACGTGGCTTGAGTTTATTAACGATTTCACATCTAACATACACAGCGTAATTGATTCAATAGCAGAAAATCATCCATCTCTTGAAAATTAAATACAAATTTATGATTATGACTGTTATTGAAGCGAAACCTGTCCCACTGTGTTGTTTTGTCAATTATCGTAATAGGAATTTCCTTTCTCTTTCAGATATACGGTGTTGCTACGAGAGGTAAAAAGACAACACTATTCAGAACTAGCGGAAAAAACAGAACAGACGCAACCGTCGCCGTGAAAACCTGTCACGGTTATAGTATTTTTTAAAAGCGAATCGATTTAAAATTAAAGCCAGTCAATAAAAAAAGTGTTCAAATTCTTGTAAAATTTTAAGTAATTTAGTGGTATGAATAAGTGCTCGCATTCCGTTCTAAGTGCTCAATGAAATGTTATAAATAAAATAAAGTTCCTTTGCTACGGCTAGTGACAAAACGTCCATAAAGTGAATTGAGTGTTTTTCCAGTAGTGTTAAGTGCTAATTAATTTAAAAGTAAGTTGTTACATACGGAAAATGCATAAAAGAGGAATTGGTCAAAAATTAATTGCAGTGCCATCTAGTGTCGAGTAGCGGAAATGCTTAGTACGTAGGAGAATGGAGGCCGGTTTCATACCGGTGCATGGTGGCAACGCGGGCTCGGCCGTGCCGTCGGCCGTGATGGCGCCACCGGCGAACGTTATTCGCGCGCCGGGCCTGAAACGCGGAAAAATGGAAGAGGCAATTTCTGATCGGGTAAGAGGAAACAATTTTTTTACGTATTAATTAAGCGAAATAGAAATTTACTTATGTTATTTCCCCTAGGGTTCAACTTCCATTCATAATAAGTTCCATCATTTATGACCAAACCAGAAACGTTCGAACATCAATCAGCAGAGCTGCAGTGGTAGAACTGTTTCTATCAGCAAATATCATTTTCACGTTAGATTTTCACTGCCATATTTTTTTTTAATAGTCCTTAGATTGTTGTAATCTCATTTTTAGTCATTTAGATGATGTCTACTGCTGTAATGAATGATGAAATACCCGTAATATTAACTTCATTGCATAACACAATTATTTGAAAGAAAGAAAGAAAGAAACATTTATTCAGTACACTTAAATTGTATGTACATAAAAATAAATTAAAACTAAAATTACTGATATTGAATGGGCACCGCTCAGCATGTGCCGTGGCTGAGAACAGCCACGTCGCTGGTATTATGCGGAGCCCAGGGAGTGCGTCACAGGCGCACTAAACTAATAGTACAAAAACATTGACTTACTTAAATTCGCAATATGCGTACAATGAATTTATGTTGCGACAAAATGTGTGATGCTTAACTATATCTATACCTATTGTTAATTTATTTATAATTAATTGATAATATTATGTTATGTATTCAAACACCATTCAACTATCAAAGAAACTTAATTATATATAAAAGAAAGGAAAAAACTACTTATTTCCTAACTATAAAGTTGGAACTGATTGCAAAAAGTATAACCGAATTAGGCCACATATACATACAAAATCCACTTATACACAAACGATACATCTAATATTTCTTATGTGTTTTTTTGCAATTCTGTTAAATAAAATCTATAGTTTTTTTTTAAAGAATAAACATTATTTACTACTACGATTGGAGGAGCCAGGACTTACACATCCAGGAATTGAGTTTATTGTAGAGTCACAGTTTTGTGTTTGAGCTCACTACAATGTCTACACTTTTTGAATTTCGAATATGATTTTAAGCGACTTTTATTTACATTGATAGAGTTTTTGTGGATTATTTTAATAAGTTGTCTCAAGTTTTTAAACTCGTGACGACAGTTTTTGAGGTAGCGAGGAGCGGTTGAGAGGGAGGATAGTGTTGACAAAATGTAGACTTAATGCGTTTGTGCTATGAGTGTGTTGCGTGGCGTTCTGTGTGCGATGAGAAAAATAATTATAATAACACACGCTCAACACAGCCCCGCACTAGGCGAACCCTGTGACACACATATAGACAACCACAAATTTCACCCAAACTCACTAGAGAAATGAATGTAGGCCATACAAATATTTCTTCCGTCCAGGGAATCGAACCTGGGACCTCTGCGTGGTCTTGCGTGGCTTAAAATAAAAGTATTTATTTAATAAATGTAACAAATGAATATAGAGGGAACTGAAATGATGTCGTGAACGTGAACGGCACATCAGACTACACATTTTTGTTCGAAAATCGCCTCCATTGCAACGGAACAAGATACGTCAATGTGTAACTTGATCTGCTGGCATATATACAATGGCGCAGCCAAAGATATTTAATTGTTTTTTTTTTTGTGAAATGACTTACGCATCAATCGAAGGAATTTTCTTAGTGTTCGAACTTTGAATTAATAGTTATGTAATTAATATGTTCTGTGTATAGTCTTAAAACATGTTCAGAAATACCCTAAATTCGAATTCGCTTGTGGCTCGCAACGTAACCTAGTCACTTCGCTCTTCGTCAAGATATTATTGTACGTATACCCTGAAATTTGACTGTCGTAAGACAGATTTAATGACTTAGGGACAGGGATGCTAACAGTCAAAATCAGCATTGTGAGTTGTTTCAAAAGGAAGTACGACTCAGCAAAACACCTTACATACGTGAATAACTGGAAGACATTTTTTACTACGTCTCAAGACAGATTTTCCACTCAGAGGGTAGGAAAGGATGCACTAAGAAAACGGCTTAGAATTTTTATTTTTAAATTGTTGAACATTGTTCTTGAAGTTGGCTTCAAGTAAATTAGATCTATTTTACTTCACGTTACCAATTTAACTTAGACTCGGCCATGAATACAATTTACTTTCAAACTGTAAGGCGCAGAGAAAAGTAACTGAGAATAAAATCTTATTAAGATCGACTCATCCGAAGAACAGAGTCCGATGTGATTATATAACGAAAAGAGAACAATTTCGTTATTCAAACTAAGGCCTATGTAAAGGTCGATCTAACATCCACAGCGAAGAAGGACGAACGAAATGGACTATGTCCTGAGAACAAGTAGTCTTGCATATAGACCTTTGTTCTACGGATGAGTCGAGATAATATCTTGGTCTAGTCTACTCGAAATACGCGTTAAAAGAATTTTAACAAATTTAACACATTGATCGCGTCACGTTTTCATAGTGCCTCTTTCGCTAGTTAGTTACCGCTGCAAGGAATGGACGTCAAATTGGTAGACTTCAGAAATTGAAGCACAAGGAATAAGTTTCGAAATGTCGAGGATTTTAAATCGAGGCTGATTTTCAAGCTAGACCGTATGTTCCCTGGCAGTGACTCCATTAATTTTCAAATAATGAATTTTAACGATGTTGTAGCCTGCTTTAGAACAGTGTTGGACAGCTTGGTCCTTTGCCCGTAGTCAAAATTAGAAAGTGGTTAGCATGGTGTCCTTGTTTGGAACTTCATTGGTTATTTACATTGACTTACAATTATATGGACGTCGGGTCCGCGCTAAAAAGTGTCCGAACTTATAGGGCGTTAAAATCGTATACAGAGCGTCATTCACGCTTTATTCTTCGTTTGTTCGACTGACAGCGAAGCAAGCAAAATTAGACAGTACTGCGATGACATTACAATTTAAATTCAACGTTTTAGCTTTTTCATATTCCTTTACATGTCACTACGTTTAAATAGGTTGACTTGGGACTTTTTTTTTGTGGTTTTTGTATTAGACCCGTCGTCCATTTATTTGTAAGTCAATGGTTATTTATGACAAATTATTCCTCTCTCTGGGAACTTTATGTGGCAGTTTTTTGTTTTCTTTTTTATAGTGACGGGACGAACAACTTATGTGCCTAAAATCAAAATAATCTTTATTTCATTGGTAAAAAGGTTACATTTGAAATCGACACATTGGTTAAACTCTACCGCTCATTCGTAATGCAAATTCACCTGAGAGCTCTTTGTAAATAAACATTTGTACGCATCATTCACAATTTTTTTTTGAAACATAGATCGATGGTGGTAAGCGACACGCCTGTCCATAACAGTTGCATTGCCACTCAGCCACTCATCGCAAAGATCTCAAGGGCATTGCCACTGGTGCGCCGGCACCCTGAGACATATTGCACTGTTAATACAATACTGTATTAACTAAAAAAAGTATTTTCTCGGAATCGACGAAAAACGAATTACTCGCTTCCCGTGAAAGATCTGTGTAAATTTTTGTTTAGGTTATTTCCTACTTGCCAAATATAGGTACTTAAAAATAAAAGAGAAAATAATAATAAGGACAATTTGGGCCAGAACTAGCTCACATAAAGCGCGTCTCGTTTTAAATAGTTAAGTAGACATCTTTTAGTCGTTTTTTTACAACATTCTAACGACGGTTTTATTGACCTGTAGAGAATACAATTTTACGCTCAATAATGGTATAATCTTGAATTTCACATATTTTGAGTTATAACACTATAGTTATAATTTCACAAGCATCCTTACCCTTCTTACACATTACTGCTTGGCGGCAGAAATAGGTCAGGTGGCCGTACTTCTCTGAACGAACCCTTTCACAAGGAGGCCTACTGCTTTTTTCGTTTATCAAAGATGGGGCTTACGTTTACTTACGTTTTATCCACAGTCTCACTTAACGGGAATTGAGGATGTGAACAACAAGGGTGCATTGATCGTAAAGATATCCAGGTTGTTATGTTTTGAACAACGGAATCCGAAGATTCCTCTTGCTGTTCTTGTTGAGGAACGAGAAAATCAGGCTCGAGGTAACGCAATAAAATTATATTCTTAATCTAAATTAAATTATATTATTATAATCCTATATACTCTGTAAAAGAATTTATGGACTTTAAATTGTAACGAATTCAGTATTTTCTATTTTTGTATTTTTATTCTAATTTTTACCGCATTAACAGGCTCTTGTATAATTATCAACTTATGACGATCCTTGATGGAGAATGATATTTGATATGTAATTTAATGACAACAATATTATATAATGAATTGTTAATTTTCTAATTATTGTGTGCTTTTCTTATAATTTTCCTTTTTGTCTGACGATCTCAATATAATTTCTTATACTTTGACATGTAGTGCAATTTATACTGTAATGTTATATTTGAGAAATAAATGAATCTGAATCTGAATCTATAATTTACAGAGAAAATACAACCGAAAAACAGAACAGAGCGAAGCATGAGGAAAAAAACATAGACAAAGAGTAATAGAAAAAGTAACTTTAAAAAAGATTTATATCTATTCCGTCTAGTAGCCGGTCCGCGACAGTTCTCATAATGAACGTGGAAGCAAAATACCTCGAGCAAATTGTACAAAAATGTACCATAAAATGGCTAAACATCTCGCCGCGTCCGTAACGGAAACTGTTTAAAAATTATGACATATAAACTAGGTCTTTGGCAAAATTGAAGGGGCCTTCAAGAGTTCAACTCTTTACTCGAGCATACTTGAAGAATGTGACGCAATACGCGACATTTTTGTGATAATACTTTTTAATGGCCACATCTATTTTTTTTTGTATAACGTTCTTTTTCTATTTAAATTTAATAGTTTAAACTAGCTTATTTCGAAAAAGCGCCAATTGTCAGTCTGACGTCACGACTAGTGACGAGAAAAACCGATACTGAACTTATTTGAATTTGTGTGCTTTCAGTTATTATTGTGCAATATGTAATTTAATTATCTAATAAATTATAAATTATATTGGGATATACTGGTAATGGAAAAGTAGATACGAGAGATATATTT